TCTAGTTCCGGAGTATTCATTTTTGGTAAGAAGCCTAAAAGCATCAGCACATATTTAATGTGGGTAAACTTTAATGTTACAACATCATAAAATATCCAAAAATCATACAAAGAGCAAAATAATCAACCTAACACATATTTAACTCCTAAATTTGTTAATTATTATCTTTAAACTGTACAGCTTATCAATATTCTTTTCCACAATAAAAAAAAACTGAATCAGTCGCACTATATTCATGTGTATAGAACTAAAACTTCACACTATCACAAACCCACAAACCCGCATCACAGTCATACTCACCAGCTACTAAACACCCAAATGTGATGGTGAAGACTGACGTAATAAGCAGAGGTGACGGCACTGGCTTCTTAAGGTACACAACTGACAATACCAGGTTGACTAGTGGGGTGCATCTTTTCAAAGCTCCATACATTGGAATGTTCATACCTTGGCAATAGTATTCAGGAAGCATTAGTAAAAGTGTACATATATAAAAATTCAGTTTCACTAGTTATGCACATAGCAATCTATTATCACAGGCATAAGAGTATGTACTCAGTTTTATTCAATCTAAACTTCAAAGCTGACATAAAAAAGAAAATTCATCAACTACATATGAAAAATTTGTCTTTTGAGAAAAAAAAAAATGTATATACACTATCTAGAAGAAGAAGAAAAAAAAAAAAACATACCTTCAAGCGCTATCAGAGACAACGTAGCGTGCATAGAATAACATAAAGATGGTAAGAGGAAAACTTTAACGGATGCAACTGTGAGCGGAGGCAAGGATACTTTTCCTGAGGCCCGCAACGCCTCCAGGACACATATTGTTATCAGCATCTGGGGAGAGAGCGTCAAACTTTTATCCAATATACCAAAAAGATAAAGGATGAGTAGCAGATATAAAGGGAGGGAGGAAGGGCAATAATGTTTCTAAACATATACAGAGGAAGATGATATTCCACAACCTGACTTTTCTCATCCAAAAAAGAAAATAACTGAAAAATGGTAAGACACATTAGGTAATGATGCTGTCTCCAAAGGCTTTAACAAATCTTGAAGACATCAGAATACAAAATAGTGATAAAAACTCAAATACTTGTACTAGTATATTTACCTGACATGCCAGAAGAAAGAAGGGGTAATTAAACTTATATTGACTTATCACAGCTTTGTTGACAAATGCCATTGACAATGAGAGACTCCCATACAGCACTGCAGCCACTACGGCTGTCGCCTGCGCAGCACTTGGCATTTTTCTGAAAAATGGAAAAAATTATATTTGAATGTGCAGTACATGTCTCTAGCTCTATGTATAATTAGCATTAGAACATTATGGATTTGGATGGATGGATGGATGATGGATGGATGGATGGATGGATGGATGGATGGATGGATGGATGATGGATGGATGGATGGATGTGGATGGTGGATGGGTGATGGGTGGATGGGGTGGGTGGATGAATGCTGCCTGGCTGGATGTTGGTTGGTTGGATGAATGTTTGGTTGGAAAAAAAATAGACTGATAGACAGATAAATAGATATGTAAATCTACATTCTGTGTGTGTGTGTGTGTGTGTGTGTGTGTGTGTGTGTGTGTGTGTGTGTGTGTGTGTGTGTGTGTGGTGTGTGTGTGTGTGTGTGTGTGTGTGTCTCTCTCTCTCTCTCTCTCTCTCTCTCTCTCTCTCTCTCTCTCTCTCTCTCTCTCTCTCTCTCTCTCTCTCTCTCTCTCTCTCATATATATATATATATATATATATAATATATATATATATATATATATATATATATATATATATATATATATAATATATATGTTTATATATCTATCTGTGAATAAACACATATCTATATATACTTATATATATGTACATCTATACTGCTGTACATATGTACATCTATACACATGTACATTTATACTTCTGCACATACGAATATCTGTACTTCTGTACATCTGTCCACATGAATATATTAATATATGAATATATGAATACGTAAATCCATGAGGGTAGGAATATATGAATACATGAATAAATATTATGTATATCAGACTACAAGCGAAAAAATCCAATACGTCTGAGAAAAACTGAACATTCCTGATACAAGCTAAAGCAGTATCGAAGGATTGCACTTCAGGTACACTGCGTGGAGAAAGCAATACCAGTCTGAGGAAATGAACTACAGTAGTGGCAGTGGCAGTAATTAAAAACTGCAATTGTCATAGGCTCCATACATCTCATACTTTGGCAAGAGAGAGTATTTAGTCCTCTTCGCCAATTTCCTGCCAAACAACATAAAATATGGAGGCCTTTGCAATCGCTACTCCTGTGGCAGCAGCTACTGATGGACATTCCACTTCCTCTCAAATAAATAATTATGTGTGAAATCACTTGATAATCACATATGATAGTTTTTTTCCTATCACATACCTCATAACTTTGTTATCATCAAGTTACGAAGGTAATACCATAGAAGAAAAGCTTCTTGTTTTCGTTCATTCTATCCATTGCGTAAAATTTTCCTTCCAATTCATGGCTGTGTGGACCCAAAATTACTCCATTTTTGGTATAACATAATCTATAGTTGTTATTACTATATCTACAATGTTTACCAAGAATTTCCTTAAGATATTTCATGGCTTCTGCTTCTCCTTTGTACATGGCTTTCACAACTATAATCAGAGTGATGCCATGCTTTTCCACTGTAGATATCTTCTTAATATTCAACCAAGTAAGGACAAAATCACAACATAAACAACCAAAATAAATATATTTAAGAAGCTAATATCCAGATAAGAGAAAAGTAAATCAATCATTCACGAAATAATGCATTGTACAAAGATAACGAAAATAATTTCATTGTGTACACCTACAATGTTCTACTCAGCAAATACACACACTTCGCGAGTCTAATAAATAAATATACAATTTAAATCTACTCTCCTCTTAACAAACACAGAAAACCGATCACTAAAACGATGGAAAGTACATCTAACATATCATTCAGACAAAATAACACGTCAGTTGTAAAATCCTCATAATTTCTTTTACAACAGATGATACTTACGTGTTTCTCTACCCAACATTTGCAGTCAAAAGTGACGTGACAAGTGTGTGTACACAGTGGCCGATGATGAACGCTTTATCAAAGTTTTAACGGGATCGCAAAATGGAAGAACTGAGTTGCCGATTGTGTGTATGTGTGTCTGTATTTATTTGTTAACATATCTATCTATCGATATTTACATTCATACAGACAGACATACAATCATATACTTACATACATGCATACATACAAACACATATATTTACATACATAAATATATACATACACACACATATATGTTACATGTACACATATATATATATATTATATATATATATATATATGTATATATATATATATTTATTATATATAATGTATATATTATATATATATATATATATTTATATATATATATATATTATACATATACACATATATATACATAAATACATAGGTGTAAATATATAATATATGTAAATATATTTGCGAATGTGTATATTGTGTGTGTGTGTGTGTGTGTGTGTGTGTGTGTGTGTGTTGTGTGTGTGTGTGTGTGTGTGTGTGTGTGTGTGTGTGTGTGTGTGTGTGTGTGTGTGTGTGTGTGTGTGTGTGTGTGTGTGTGTGTGTGTGTGTGTGTGTGTGTGTGTGTGTGTGTGTGTGTGTTGTGTATTTAATATATATATATATATATATTATATCATATATATATATATATATATTGTATATATGTATATATATATATATTATATATATATATATACTATATATATATATATGTATATATATATATATATATATATATATATAATATATATATATATATATATATATATATATATATATATATATATATATATATATATATATATATATATATATATATATTATATTATATATATATATATATATATATATATATGTATATATATCTATCTATATCTATATCTATCTATCTATCTATCTATATCTATATATATATATATATATATATATATATATATATATATATATATATATATATATATATATATATATAATATAAACAGCAAGCAATGGATTGGGGGGGTAGCACTTCAGAGAATCCAAATCAATATCTACTTTAATTTTAGTGAAAGAAAATACAATTTTCTTTTGCTATGTTATGATTTTTTTTCTTTTTTTTGCGACATTTCCACTGTGCAAAAGTATCAAACTAATATTTACATTGGATCTCTGAGGTTTTGTATTTTTCACATGATCAACAAAACAATAGTCCTATAATCTATATTTTTCTAGATAGAGGGTGTAGAAGATTTAAGTACCAAGTGAAAGTAATCCTAAGCAAGGTCTACATAATAAGTATAGACCTTGATCTTAAGGGTATCAGGAACACTGGAGATTGGCCACATTCACTGGAGAATATCAAGGGTGCATTTCAATAATTACTCTAACAAATCCTATTGTGCGATCAACTTGAAATTCTATTAGACTCAGTTAATTTAATTTAGTGTTACAGGACTGTCCTTTATTTTTCTGTAGCTTTATCCTAATATATTACCTAGTAATATTACATGATAATAACTGAAGGCACCACAATTCACCTGTCCTTTCTTTAATATTTCAAGAATAAAGATGCCTTTTCAATCTTAGCATCGAAATATGTATATCTTGTAAAGCATCCATCGATTCCCATGACTGACTCATCTGTTTATAGGAAACTTAGGAGGAAATCCTTTTCTTATTTCCATTTTTCACTATAAAATCTTACTCTTTTATCATAAAAAAACAGATTTTAAAGCACTTTTCATGTATCAAAATCTATTATGATGATTATCTCTTAAGGATGTTATTAGATTCTGATTGTGTTATCTCGAGATAACAACTTATTTTTCATCTTGCAGTATGATTCTTTATGAAGTGCTTATCAGTTTTTTTGTATATAAAATGCCGAAGGTACATAAATAAAACGATATCACCCAAATATGAACAATGGTCTTTCTTTTAGTACATGTTTTATTTTGAACAATGTGCATATTATACAGATGTACTCTGTCCTGTTGTATGTGTTCAACGAAATAAGAACAAAATTCACAAAGGATACAGCATATGAGCTTTTCACATCCTAATATTTTATACTGCTTTAGCTAAAATGAAAGCCATAAGTAAAGTGGTAGTTTTGAGACAGTATCTGTCAAAAACACAACCTTACCTATAAAACTGATGGAAGTACATCTCAGGCTACTTGAAGCTAAAAAAAGCAAGCCATCTGCATAGCAATTAAATATTACCATTATACAAAAAGTAGTGTAAAAAAAATGAATAATATACAGCAAGTGAGTGTATTACATAGGCAACTCATATCCACCCTACAATAATATGAGAACAATCAGTCGCAAAATTTAAAGCTTTAATCTCTATCCTCGAGAGGAATGGAATCATACTGCAACTTTTTTCTTAGGTTTGATAAGATGGTGATAGTTGGGAAGGATCTTCATCAGGAAGTCCAATTGAAGACCCTGAGGCTGAAAGGCAAAAGCAGAAATATTTTCATGAATTGTTGAATAACATCATTATTAAAAGAAGGAACAAATAAGAAAAATCAAATGTATGCAATATCTGTTCATTCTACATGTCCCAAATCTTCTACCAATGTCAAAAGTTTTATATATAGCTACAATGAAAGTTAAAAGCAAAACTTACTGCAGGTTTCTCAGACTGGTTTCGTCTATGCAGCTCGTCACCATAAATCACTGTATTCTCAGAAACCACCTGCGGGCATGTGATTGAACACAGAGATCCTATGACGCATCCTCGTGTCAGCTCTACTCCTGCACCAACATGACCTTTAAGAAGATAAAAAAAAAAAAACAATTCTTCTAATTTTCTCTATCATCTCACATTCTAATTACAGTCAAAAAACATAATTTTCATAATCAGTAAACAAAAAATCTAATTTCCAAAGGTTAGAAAATAAAAATGTTTATAGCTCAGCTCTGTGTTAGACTGCTAACTTTGCAATTGCAAGGTCCCACTTTAATAACTAGCCAGCATCTCTCACCCAACTTAGTGCAAGTTAGCACTGGCATCAGTTAATGGGGACAAAAAGGAACCAGCCACCTTATCATCCTACAGATATGTTTCAGACATCCACTTGGATGTAGGGCCAAATTTGATATACTCCCTGAATTCTAATCAAATTCATCTGATAGAAGTGATAATCAAAAAGCAAATCTTATCTGAATTATGTTGACTTGTGAATATTGGTAAAGTAGGTTAAATTCTGCCCTACTAGCTCTACCAAAAAAACATATATATCTTTCCTTAACAATCAACAAGGAAAAAGAAAAATGATTTATTCAAGTCCATCTTTAAATGCAAAAATACAGCTTATCTACAGACACTCCAAACTTGGAGGGTATAGAATTAAGAGGGAAAATATATCAATGGTTGATTACTCATGTCTTTAAAATTTCAAATACTTACTCTTAGCTTCTAAAACATTGTTGTCTCCTACTTTAGTTGCCTGGCAATAGCTATCGACCTCAAATACATTACTGTTGCCAATGACCATAACCTGTGGTTCTTCTCCAGGCTCAGTACCTTCCGGCAACCTGCAATGAAGGGAATAGAATTTCAAACATTTCAGGTGGTACAGTACCATATATTGGAAACTTCCTAACTGTAAAGTCAATAATGTAGCTATGTTTCTACACGTATATAGAAAACATATATAACAAATCAGTAAAATCAAAGGTAGGTGAGGAAAGTGCAATTATATACTGCACAGTAGAGTACATTATATCACCATCACATAAAATGTCCACTATTTTCAACACTAACCTGTTGATTATTTGGGCTTGCTCCTCTATCAAGTTGCCTTCACCAATGATAATAGGTCCAGCTTCTGCTATAATACGTGCCTTTGGATGGATGACAGTGCGAGCCCCTATGGTTATTTCTCCCTGGTAGTCTGCCTCAAGACATACGACTGCTCCTGGTGTCACCTTGACACTGAGGAATAATTAGAAAAATTTGTGATGTTTTGCATGAGAGAGAGAGAGAGAGAGAGAGAAAAAAAAAAAAGTTGGTATTTTTCATCTGAAATAACTCTAAGATACAGTTGATTTTTTTTCTTTAAATCCAAATGTTATTTTATGAGACTATAATTTACAAGAAATACCTATTGCATATAATATTAAAGTTCAAGCTTTTCTTTCTTTCATCTAACTAATAATATGAGTCAAGACCGACCTTTACATAATCTAAATCTGACATATCTTAAAACCAGTTCCCATGTATGTGCAGTTATCTCAATATAATATATAAACAAATTGACATAAAACTAAACAAACATATATACTATATAATATATATATATTATAATATTATATATAATATATATATATATATATATATATATATCCATTATAGAATACATACACACATCAATTTACCCACTGTGGTAATATAAGAAAAATAACTACCCAGACATTGTAATAACACCTCTGTGAAAAAAGAATATATGTTGCACTACCACAAGCTGAAAGGCTTATGATATCACTTCTACAATACCTCATATAATATAAAAGCTGTATTGGCTATTATGATGATATTTTAAAAAAATCATATAGCATACGCATAAAATACTAATTTAATACTTTAAATATTTAAAAATAATGTGTACTTCTTATATAATGCCTACAGAACAAATTTCTATTTATATAGAATCTAACTCTAATAGCCAGTAAAATATAATTAGGAAATCTTTCATGGTATCAGAATTTGTTTTTGGATATTTTGAAATATATTTAAGTCTTCCTGGAACAAAAAATGTTGAATTTTATAAAGAACTAACAGAAACATCCAATTACATATTGCATCTTTGTATATTTCCTAATAAATATCATCTTTTGAAAAATAATGCAAATGTATATATAAAATATAGTCATATTCCCAAATACTGCAATAATGGGTATTTGTCTTCCAGGGCTGTTGCATTCTCCAGGAGTCTTGCAGGGAACAAGAGCCCTCTGTAGTCAATGATAATAATACAAACTTTACTTTTTCTAATGCAATTTATATTGATGCTGTTATCATTTCTGACATTATAATCATTGTATTGTTATTATCAATACCAATAGATATATAAGTCAAAAAAGAATATTTCCAAAAAAATACTTACAGAAATAAAAGAAACAGGTACGATAAGTATGCGACTAGTTAAAAAATACTGGACTCCCTGCGGTGCTTATAAAGCAATTCTATTATATGTTAGGTATTGCCACTTTAATGAGAGAGTAAACAGTAAGTCGAAATAACAATGGATATATATCACGTATGGTATATAGAGCTATGGCATTTGTACATATAGACATAATAGCCATCTACTCCCAATCGGACCAACTGGAGAAATGGTATACGATGCGTTATAAAGATAGACTAGTGAGGTACGGGAATGAAAGATTAGAAGTGTTGATACTACCTAGAAGGTCTAAGCCCAGAGTATTACTCAGAAGTTGCCAGTTTTATTTCTTTTTCTAAGAGATAGTATAGATCATGCAGTTACAAATACATTTCTTTCAGATTTAACCACGCAATTTATCACCTGAATAGCATTTACAAGGAACCTGGCCCTACTATTATTAAATGTATAGACGGGATACCCAAATTCTACAGATATGATATATAAGGGTTTTACTATGTATCCTCCAAACGTTCAGGTGTTTACTCGTTTTACATCTTTTTTAATGTTATTAATTATCTCCATAAATCATTCTTTTCTCTTCTTCTCTATGACACCTAGTAATAGAGTAGAGCAACAGTAATATAAATAAATATATTTTACGATTCAAATTAGTACAATTATTTGTGGGCCAAGCATTCTCAACAGTATAGTATCAACTCGACTCCAGATTGACTAATATACTTGAAAATGCCAATTAAAATAAACCTTAAATTATATACATACATATATCATAACGTTAATTCACAATTATTGTTAACACTTTAAAATTTCTATCTACCCAATACTGTAATTTAGTGTCTACCAATACTCCGAATATCCAGCTTTGCTCTTCTGGTTCCACTGCTGATTTCTGCGCGACATCAGTTGTCTTTTGTATGTCAAAAGAAACACTAAATGTAGTACATTACATTCCTTCCATAATAAACACACAAGACTAGTTCTTTCTTAATGAAGTCTTCTCGTGAGTCGTTACTGTAATAACTTAGTTTTAACGTGAATTTACTTACATATATCGAAGTACTACTATACTTGCGCAAATCTCTAGTCTTGACATCTTATCAGTCGCTCGTATTTCAAGAGAGGCATCATCCTACACTTATCGTATCTTTCTTTCACTTATCAATCAATTCTCACACTTCACTCTGCTTCATCACTTACTCATTACTACTCCTTTTTCTACTACACAGTAATAAATGCACATAATCAATGAGAGCGCCTAAACTTATTCTAGAGCTACATATTTCTTCAGAGTATCAAACTACTCGAGTTCTATTTCGTATGCTAATCTATCTACCTTTGTATAATCATGTACATATTGTCTTCTCTATCTCTAATTTTATCTATCATTATCAATATATGCTTATCTTCATCATAGTTTTACTCTCACTTCTCTACCTTTAATCTACTATTATTGCTACCTTATCTATGATTATCTCGCCTATTCACCAAGCGTGGTTTATTCTGAGTATTTCAACTCGTTGTCACTGATATTACGTGGTCTTTCATTTACGACTGCGTCTAGTATGTACTTATATATATGTATTTGCTCTAAATATTAATACTAATTTTAGACTTCATTATGCAGAATATTTTGAAATAAAACTCTATATTTGTCCTCCCCCTCTTCGTCATGACTTTCTAGCACCTTAATGCTCTCTGACTCCACACTTCTGCATGGTCCGTTTTTTATGAATGCAACAATATCCTAACTGATTGAGTTATAGCTCCGTGTACTTCGTACAATTTTTCAGTAAAGAATCGCTATCAGGCAGTACATAATTTGATCACATTATTATATTCTGAAAGGAAAGTATAATAACAAAGATAAACAATATCAATTATACATATGTACTTGTAATACTTGAATATTATTTATTACTATATATTTATTATTATTTTATTTTATAATAATGTGTTCGATATTAATGACATAGTATTTAGTACGTCTAATTATTATAATAAGTATGATTATAATTATCATTCTATGAATATCACAGTGAAAGTTATAATAAGGTAAATTTTATATATAGTAGTTATCACACACACGGGTACACATCACACACCACCTAACACACACACACACATTACGATATCACGACACGAGCAGCGATATATATTACCCTATTCACACACAAACACACATTTACTAGTATATATAATAATATATACTTATTATATAACTCATATATTAGCTTTATATAACGTACTATATATTTAGTATATCGATATAACTATAAATCACACACGCCACTCTCTCTCCTCTTCTATCTCGTCTCTCTCACACACACACACACACTACACACACACACCACACACACATCAGTTCACACACTAACACACACACACACGACATCCACATGTGAGAAGAACACAGCACACATCACACCACACACACACACATAAGCACACACACACAGCAGCGACACAACACACACACGAGCACAACACATAACAGAGATATAGATTATGTATCTATATAAGAGTATAGGAGAGAGAAATACTATATATGAATATATAATATAGATATTATATATCATAGTATGACGAAAACACAATCAACTAGAGAGAAAATAAAACGAGCGCATCTGTCTAGACTTCGACAGACACAATAACATGCTATGAGGTTCCCTTGATATGGGATGTCTGATAAGTCTCTCACCCAAGGCGTCCTCCACTCATGACCTATCGGATCACAAACATGGACTACGGCCACATAACTGGAGAAGGAAACTAGTTAAGAACCGTATTCATGTTGACAAATGTAGAAAAGGTATGAATGAGAAATGGA